TTTAATTCTACAAAATTATAGAATTAAAATAAAAAAATTTTTACCAAATTCAATCAAGTAGTTATTGAGAAATCATCACTAGAAGTTTTAAAAAACTTTTGAATTTATAAATAAATCCCGATGATGGGTCGGTGGCGATCTGCAGGTTGTTTGCTGAATTTTGGTGGATCCACTAATCTACTCTTGGTGCAAGATCTATGATCTTATTGTTACATGGGGCTTTGCGCATACATTTCACATGGATCATCATTCGATTCGGTAAAAAAAGCTTAGGGCATTCTTTTACTATGGTTCTTCGGTGTACATTCGTAAGGCTGCTAAAGATTTGTTAAATCGACCTGCTCAAGCTACCTATAAACAACTATTGCAATATTCTAACCAACGTAAAAATCTTGCCCAAACAATGAAGAGAAAGACTATTGTAACTACTAAAGCTAACCACTTGGAATTGGGTCTAACAAAGAAAACTATTGTTATGAGGTGTTATATTAATATTTAAGGATAACTAGTAGTTACTATACTTGACTCTGATACTGCTATTAGCATTATTACCAAGAAGCTAATACAAAGATTAGGATTACATATTACTAAAGAATCTAAGACTATTGTAGTAACTGCCAATGAAGCTAAAAAAAAAGCTCTAGGATCAATTAGTGATATGAATATTGTATTCCAAAATATTGCAATCCCTATTGACTTGCAAGTAATCGAGTTCAAAAATAAAATTCTTTTACTAGAAACAGATTGGTTTACAAAATCCAGAGCCACTTTAGATTAAATACTTGGAAAAAAGAGCTACTATCTATACAACTTATATTAGTGGAGTTCCAATACCTGATGAATTTAAGAATTTACAGATAAAGATGAATAGATTGATAAAATCAAAGAACAAGATAAAGCAGAAACCTACTATATTGAAGAAGAAGACCAAGATGATGACCTCTTATTCTTCAACCCTTGGACTGATGTTATTACCTGCAATATATATTGCTTTAACTGCTGAAGTTCCTACAACTCTACTTTTAACTGTTAATACTTCTTTAAATAGACAACAAAGAAAAAAAGCTAAAGAAATTCTTCTAAACAATCACCAAATCTTTGCTAAAAATATTTCTGAAGAAGAACAAACCTTAGAACTGAGACAAACCACAGAAGTTTGTCATGAAATTAATACTCCAGATGCTAAACCGATTAAACAATGAGCCTACAAAGCATCACCAGATGATTTAGAGTTCTTGAAAAAAGAAATTAAAGAAATAAAAAAATGTAGAATTATTCAAGAATCAAACAGCTTATGGTCCTCACCAGTAGTTATTATACCCAAAAAGAATGGAAAACACCAAATCTGTATTGACTACCAAAAGTTAAATACAGTAACAACAAAAGATATATATTTTTTTTCTGATATTAATGAAATCTTATGTCTTTAAAGGAGCTCAATGGTTTACAAGCTTGGATTTGGCCAGTAGATATTGGCAAGTTGCTGTACAAGAAAAAGATAAAAAGAAAACAGTATTTATTACTCAGCATGGAATA